TATATATATATATATACACATACACCTGTATATGTATATAATTTTCAGGAAACACTGATACAACGATTTTCCTTTCTTTCATGATCTAGCTATTCACCGCGAGAAAAGAATGTCCCAATATTTAACTGTGCGCATAGAAATGAAAATAATGAAAATAGCTTTCTTGAAGGCGATAGGCATCCTCGACAGAGTACGGAAGCGAAGTATCAGAGGTTGGAACAAAGGACAGTATTGTCATAAGTACGTTCTCGTGTAGCACCGTTTGGAACAGAAACTCAGACAGATCGGGCACAGCAAAGAGAATAATCTTTCTTCAGCGTTGCAAGAAACAATAAAAGTAGAGGTTCTCGTATGGAAGCAATTTAGTGTGAACAAAAATATTTTGCGTAGCCATATTATGAAATCAGGAAGCCTAAAAGTCGGTAGATTGCATGCGATCCAAAGATTCGAGTAGCATAATGTCGTTTCACGAGGAAAGTATAATAGTTCATGCTTGAAATCGTGATACATCGTAAACGGATCAAACCGACAAACGAAAATATACACATACATTAGAAGTAGCATATAACATACAAGAGCATCTACGAGCAGTCTTTGTCGTACAAGCTATTTGCAACAGGTATCGTATGGAATAGGTGTAATAGATACAGAGTAAAATATAATATTGTACAACTGCGCTTCATAATCCTTTCGTTCATGCTATTGTATATCGTGGGTGAAACGAAAATAGGAGAATGGACGATAGAGGGGTTGTGAATGCATCATAACATACGAAGTTTTCTCGGGAACTCGCTAGGATGTGTCAACCATGATCTTGCTAGGGGGTTTAAACATAAACTATCGTTGGAGATACAAACCCTAATAAATGAACGAGGTTTTCTAATTATGCGATTAACCGTGGTCTCGTACAGGTTGTCGGTATGCTTGAGTACTTTGATTATGTTGAAACTCACATTGAACTCCTAAGATATGCTAATTAAAATAATTCATCGTGCAGAATTTGGTGTCGTTTAAAAAATTGTCAAATATCGATGATACCTCGATGAATTATCTTAATTAGCTTGATACATGATACGCATTTACGCAGTAGAGATACGTTATTTATTTTCTACTAGTTTCGTGCAAACTAAGCTCTCCCATACGTATTTTCATAAATCTACGTCGACTCAACCGAACTCCGATCTCTAACTCTCATCCAAGGATACTTATAACTTAACACTAAATACGCTTAACGCCAATTTTAACCTTAATCCGTACGTGAACTAAACTAATGACTAAATCGATACCTGTTTCAGTAACAAGTCGCTGTTCACGCTGAGACACGTGACCAGGTGCTTCGTGAGATCCAAAAAGGACGTGAGGACTTCCGTTGTAAGGTGGTCTCTGCTTGCTCTCTGCAGCATATAGCTGATTACCAGAAAGCCACGGTTTTGTACCATGTGTTGTTGCACGGTTTCCGAACTTTCCACGAGATCGCAAATAAACCCCAACAGTTTCGAACTAAAATTCGAATTGGATCGTTACGAGGTCGTTACAATACGATTTGGACGAGGTATGAGCCGAACGTTCGTCTCACTCGTTGTTAAATGTTTTAGTATATATTTACCATAAAGTTGGATCTCGTTTAACATCGTTGGGCGCTATGCAATCGTAAGGCATATCTAGTTGCGAGAACAAAGGGAACAACACTTGAATGCCACCAATCGAGTTTAACGTGCTATGAATGGAATGCGTGATGACAGCTTTAACATCCTACAAATAGACAGCAAAAGGTTCGATCACTCGTTTTCCATATATGTACATAGTCTGTAGCTCGATGTTCTACATTCGGCTGTAAAAAAAAATTCGAACGCTCGGGAAAAAAACTGGTTTCCGATTTCTCTATGGAAGAAGAACTCCATGCGAGCGTGAATTTTCAAAATGAAAGTTTGTCGCGGAAGTCGCACCTTGTACACCTATTTTTTTCCATCTCGAATATCGACTTTTCCAATTTTTCTCGATGATTTTAATTCGTACGAACAATCCAACGATTGCAAACTAACCCCTTAGGGATCGTAAAATTTCTTTTGTTTATAATATTAAAATAAAAATCTAAGTATTAATTAAATTATAAAATTTAAATCTAAAATACCAGCATTTTGTAATTTTTAATGATCACCTTATAACAATAAATTATTTTACATTAAATAGTAAAATTTAATGAAATGTGATAAGGAAATTAACGAATTTTTGACCGACTTTTGCAGAATAATTCGGTCCTTCAGGGGTTAACATAGATAACCAAATAAAAATTGCGCGATTAGGTTATTTATTTAGGATATGAGAAACGTAACTATCGTTCTTTGGCGCGAAAAAATATTTTCGAGTAAAAATTTGCAAAAATTAGTCTGGTAAACGACCAATTTTTCTTTCACGTCAGATTCACCGAGCGTTCCATTCTTCTTACACAAAGTTACGAGTGTTCGGTGTCATACCTGCATCATAAGGGCGTGTGGTGTATGTATAAAATAGGAGACGTTGCCTTTCGGTGCGCTTTGCAAGCAAAGCTGAGAATCCGTTGCTACCGGATTGTACATGAACGCAATCGCATTCGACAGCTTGCCATCGTAAAGCACCTATAAAATTGCGTTGTTAACATTGTTTATGTGTTTTCTCAATTGCATTTCTTAGAGACATTCCACTACATCGAGTCACAATTCGTCTCTGAAAGTTTGCCCAATAACCACAAACGTACATGAGTATACGGAATCCTTTGTTCCTCCATTTGTCACAGAAAATAGCGTATGCAAACTTTCAAAATCGATCATGACTATTCGAATCGACGTCTACGTGTTAAACGGACAGACACGTGCCACACACCACAAACGAGGCTGTGTAAAATCTTGAAAAACATATTTACAGACTTAGCACCCTTTCGAGACTCAGATTTCTCCACCAGTGTACCTTGCTGAATAACGTTACTTAAACCGTGTAACTGATACAAAGCATTGTACACATATTCGTATTATCTAAAGGAAAAATATGTAAAATACACGCATCACAGCAAAATCATCAAACAGACAGGTTCCCGAAGGAACATAACTATTGAACAGGCTGTAAATTAACCAGGGTAAATGCTATTATATCTACATCGCAAGAAAGCGTCAGGCAAAACACAGAGGATGGCTCGCGTGGAAACGAGACATGTATACGAACTAAGAAAAAAAATGTTTAAAAATGGGAGAAACGAAAGAAAAATCCACAAATAAGCAAATTATGCAGTCGATGGATACAAACGTCATCGCAATAACGTCCAACGGAACGTCACCTTCTGGGTAAAAGATATATTCGTAGTGATAGTCGATAATCGGGGTAATTACCTCTGACGAACTCGAACGCAGAAACAGAGCGATTAAACAATGTGCAAATCAAATGTAAACGGGAGGAAAAGAAAATAAAAATGCTTACAGTTTGCATACTTTGGTCCACCATGCTCGTGAGCTCCGGCTCATCACTCACCCTTTTGTGATTCTCAGACAGATTCATGTAACACTCGTTGTCAAAACGAAACTGACTCTGTGAACAGAAAGCAACGGGAACACGGGTTGTTGAATATGTAACGAATCTGTGCGAATTCTGAGCGAGCCTTTGCGAAGAAAATGGAGAAATTGTCAGAGAAAATTAAAGACTCTCGCGAAAGGCTTATAAAGGGGAATTCTTTTGAAATAATAACGTTTTCCCATGTCTCTGTGCAGTTCGGATTTTTAGAGCGTGAATTCCGTGTAAAAGAATTCAAATTTAACGAATATGCAGGAGATATTCATAATTACGAAAAGAAAGGGATGAAAATCTAGTAGCGAGCTTTTCAGATTCGTTATCTATGCAAAGTTTTATTTTTCTAGGCCAGTGTACCTTATATCCCGGGCCCAGTCTGTGCATAGCGCATATCTGATGCGTCGTCAGAGCTTCACTGAACAGATAAATAGCGCTCATTTGTCCGCAAAACACTCGCTCCTCGTCTAGTTCCGGTGTAGCCCCGATGTAACATCTGTCAAAAACCTGAAAGCAAGGTATGCATGTTCCTCTCCGATCAACGGACATCTCGTGGCCGGGAGCCGCCATTTTGATGCGTTTCTATCGAATTAATCACGGCCGGCAAACACGAACATTAATAGGCAATATCGAATATGTGAATTCACTTACGTCGTTTGTCGAAACGAACCACGCCATTTCGCTACTCGAAGCCAATTGACCGTTGACCAAACATTTAACCTCGCTCTTCGTCCACCTATTATATATGTACACTACGGCGATCATATACCACTGTGAAAATAAACATTAGCGGTCCTGTTGAATATTTCCTGAACAAATCGTCAGATGAGATTAAAACGCGCGCCCATGAATGAGACGTTTTCACAATACGATTTGCATTACGATCGATTTAAATTTAATATTTGCAAGAGATAAACCAAGAAAAGAAAAAAAGTTATGTGAAAGAAATATTTCAATTCTAGGACACTTGTGCTTTTGAAATATTTAACATCGAATATGAAAAGATCTAAGTGACCATTTTTTATTTTTTAATTAGGAGTTCCACGTTAAACATGATCGCTTTGAAATTAGAAAAAGCATGTTTTGAAAAAAATTTCATATAAAAGTGACGTGTCGATGTGACGTACCTTTCGTGGCTGAAATTCATATTTGACACAATGTTGGATACCCTTTCCCTTCACTTTCATAGAGGTGAGGACCAAGCAGTTCCCCACGAAATGCGCGGAATATCCCACTCCCTTGCTAGTTTTAAAACTGCGAACAGAGAACACGGAACGTTTCCATGAAAACAATCGTTAGGAGGTACACCGTCCGTGAAAATTCATCAACGATCCCCTTTCTATTCCGTGCGGTTTCAGCTCCCTCTATTTTACTCCCATCCTTCGAAATAACGATGTATTTTATAAAATGGGAACAACGGTTGTCGGTTGTATGGAAATCGAATCGTTTCCGCGTGGAGGAATGCGATCAAATTGCTGCACGACGCGACGCTCCGATGGGAACCCTTTTTTTCCCGCTAACTCAAACGGAGCTACGTTTAATCAAATACGAACGTTCGAACCGAAAGAATTTCGTCTGCTCCTTTTTCACAGTTCTCGATTTTCCCTCTTTTTCCCCCCACTTTTCGACAACACGGGTCCCTCTGTCTCGCTCGCTCTCGAAGGTCAGCAATGTAAACGATTCTTTAAGGTAGCAGCCAACCACTTCGATTCAAGAGAGTGTTCCCGCAAGAGGGCTTGATGTAAGAGACCACTTACCAGTAGAGGTACGGCTTTTCTCGTTCGATATTAACGGAGTTGATGGGGTCCAGACGGAACCACGTGGTAAACGAGAATCCATTCTCGTGTGGCCACTTCGCGAGTGGTGGCAGCACGATCGCCTGAGAGAGATGGTGCAGAAATAAGTAAATAAGATAGCATAAAATTAGAATTTTGTCGATAAGTGTTGCATGTTTTAACACTAGAATTACCAAAGGACTTAAAATGGTTTACATCCCTATTGGTTTAATAAAATTTTTAATAAATTTCTTAACATTGAGAAAATTATAAGGAAGTTGTTAGTCATACGATTGCATGTCGTCTCTTGAAATTGAGAAACCTCTCTTGAAATCAGTATTTCCTTAAGACCTTCACGAGTAGAGGTTATCTCGAATATTCGTTTAAAATGAGCGACTTAGGTATATCTTTGGAGGTAACAACTTTGCTTGAAGTTCGTAGAAGACACTTCTACGTTGACTTGTACCCTTTCAAAGTTGTACATTAAAGAAAACGTTCGAAACAGTTGCCTCGAATAGAAAACTTCTCTTCCTTAACGTATTCTATCATATCGAAAGTTTCTGTCTCGAGGAGAACTCATTGAATGACTGCAAACGTCTTCAGTGCCGGACGACATCTGTTTCCATGGATTTTTCTAAAGTTTCGTGTATTTGAGCCATCTTCATCTTTCCCTTCGAACTTGGTACAAATAGCTGCCATTCCGATGCTAAAGCGAGGTGTATTATCATGCGGAAGCAATATGTTTGTGTGCATCTTTTGAGAAATTTGGTAAGTTAACTTGAAAGAGGTTTGCCTAGCTCCGAGAGGAAACATTTGTACTTTTTTAACGCTATCATGAGTAGAAAATAATTAAAAATTTGGCATCCCATTTGTGTATCGATGACTGTATTTTTCCCCTCGAGCAGGTAATAAAATAATGCTATCTCTCTCGAAATTAGAAACTTGAGGTGAATAGAAGGAGAAACGGGCAAATAGGTGGATATATTTAATAGATAGATCAAATAAAACTAAAAATACAAATTTTAAGGATTTAAACATTTTGGAAACTTTTTACCATATATTCAGTAAGTCTCTGAATAATTTAATCCGATACTAAATTATATCTCGAACTGTATTTTTCCCATTGTTGAAAAGATATCTAACGTTTAACCTTGATCGGGTTTTAGAGATTTAACCAATAATTCCAATAATTTCCCAACTGCTGCTCGTATAGAATTTAACCGATCGAAGAATCAATACGTCATTCGATTCCGAGGATTAAGCGCGAGTGGAAGTTCCGTGAAACAAGGCGAATTTTCTTATCGAAAGTTTAATAGAGTTCAGACTCGAACGGCATCTTCGACGAGGCTGTAACAGGGATATCCGTTGGGGGAAAACCGGCGAAGAAAAGGATGGAAATCGACTTACCGATCCCTTCTTTCCTGGGAAGCTGAAGAACACGTCGGGCCCGTTCCGTTGCGGCATCTGGCGGAGAACGTTTAACAGTTTCGCCGAATGTCGTGGCTGTGACACAAATAAGAGTAATAAGAGTCTGCGAAATACGTCACGTTGAATAAGCATAGAAAGATGGGACCAGGATGAAGCTGCATCCACAGGTGAAGTTTCGTTCCTTTTTCTCTAATATGGGACTTCAACTCTCCCCTAGAAGGAAAGAAAGTTTTCGTTCTCTCGTAGATTCTTACCCATTTTCCTTTTACAGCTTTCATAGCACCGAATAGAAGCTTCAACTCCTTCACTGTTATACTATAACTGGCCAGTACTCCGAGCATGTCGATCAGTAAATCTGTCGAACAGAGGCAAATCGATCCGTGTGTAAATCGCATGTGTGGGCTTAATATACGTGAACAGGGTTAGAATCACGTGATAAGGATTTACCTGCAACAACCGTATCGGCCCGGGACAATCGAAGCAGCACATGTTCGATGAGGTTTACGTCTGTACACGCTTGTAAATTTCAGAACAAATACGTATGGAACATGTGAAAAATTTGTCTATTAAAAAACAGTATTATCAATATTTTAACTTTGATCGTGAATCTTTTGTGTTAAAAATCTGTTTACTTTAAAATAATGAGTTTAGACTGCAAGTCTCCCAATATTTTTCAATAAAATCGTCGTTTAAATAAAATTTGTATAGTGTTTGGAAATAATTATTAAATTATTTTTGGGCCAGAACTAGGCTAGATTGCTTAATTTCATTTACATTCCATGTTTTAGCCCACTAGCGATCTTTATCGAATAAAGTACAGACTACAAAGTGAAATAGAGTCTGCTAAAATTAAATAATCTAACCTAACCTAAAACTGTTACGTGCCGTCCATATAGTTTAATCATATCAACTACAGGTTCAACTTATGAAATGTACACTAATTTATCTATAATTATATCAATATGTAAATTAATTCCTATGCTTAAAATTATAATTTACGAGTAATCGTTAAATAACTAAATTGTAAAATATCTTTAACATTTCAAAACTTCAAATGTCCAGTAATTATTCCCAAAGAAATTCCAAGTTCTCTTAGCTGAATTAAAGAATTACATATACTTGTACTATGAAAATTACACCACCATACATAACATAACCTAAATCTAATTTCCATTCCGCCATCTTCTTTAGGTAACCTCTCCACCAAATGTCTCCAGTAAAGAACAAAACTTGAACTTCGCTATCCATTACGAGTCATAGAAGCATTAACTGATGCATTAGCACGTGCCTCAGTGACAACCATAAGGCGTGCCGCAGTGCTGGTAGTTAATATCCAAACTACTACACACCACCGACTAAAGTTGTTCGAGCTAGATCAGAGATCAAAAGTGAACCAGCCAACTCGCTTAATCCGTAACTAATACGTAGTCTGAAGTCATGACATAATCGCAAAAGGGCCAAAAGCAAGAGTATGCCGAACAGAAAAGCATCCAGCGGTCGTCGTCGAAATCCCGAAAATGCCACGGAAATTTCGCCAGCTTGGAATATCCAAAGTTTCACCGAACGAGAGTTTAAGGGTGTCCTATATCGGATAGCAACGATTTTTTCGTACATGCATGGAATTAGAGGAACCTCGCGATTAAAGTTAATCCCCGAGGGAAAGACGTTTTGTATAGGACAATCGGGATATGGTCTCCCTGGGGAACCGTGACAATCTCGACCATATGTCTCACTAGAATGAACAACGTAGAGATATGGATCCACGTCCTTCGTGGATAATTACGGACTGAATCTGAATTAAAAGATGGTGGTGAGTGAAGAGGATTTTGGAATATAATAGATATTAAATTTATTCGTACATTAATGTTGACAATTTGATATTCGTTTGATGAACAATTTCACCCAATCTAATGAATTTTTCATTATCTGTTATGAAAGGAGAAACAGGAGGAGAAATTGGAAAGACATGCAAGAACAAGTGAGATGGGTAAAGCGTACTGTATATGTTGATAATTATAAAGGATATGGATATTATTTAAAAATATTTAATCTTCCTTTCGGTTAAATAAATTTGTTTAAATTCGAAATAACCAAGAAATTAAGGAAATAATTAAAATGAAAGGGTTTGGTCACAATCCTTATTTATTGGGAAGTAATGTTGAGAATATTCGTGAAAGAATAAATTTCTTTCCAGACTGTATCTCCTCAAAAATTGTTCAATACAGTGGATCGAGAAAATTACTAATTAGCTCGACAATCTTTGTGTCGTGTATGACGCAATTTAATTAAAAATGAATTTGATCTTTCTGAACTTTTACTTTCCTTGATGCAGACTTGACATGTTTGCGTTTGTCACGGGCTTACTGGATTAAATTTTTCATGGAAGCTTACACAAGTTGCAGACAAAGTTTTTTACCTCCAGTGTTACAGAATTTTTAAATATAATTAAAATAATTTTATATATACATCTCTTTAATGTGTTAGATTTATTTACATATTATTTGCAGTCCGGCCTGGTTGTAAGTATTTATTTAAAATCTGAATTGTATGTTTTATAAAAATGGAAAATAAAACAATGAAATCCAACGAGTGATATCGATAAAAATATTCTCTTTCATTCTCAATTTATTAGATCACGCCTTGCGTATGATAGCTATACTAAATTCACAAATCATGCAAACTTAAATATCATACGATACTTTGCACTTTAAACCCTATTAAACTATCTATCTGTGAGCGCAGGTTAATTCGAAATTAACCATATTAAACTATCTATCTGTGAGAAGGTTAAATTCGAAAAAATATGTTATCATTGAGTCTCTCAAACATTTTTGCATAAAAAACGAAATCATTTAACTTTAAAACAATTATACAACAATTTATTTGATTTTTCGACGAATTTGCTTCACTAAAAAGTTGTTTCGATTAAGTTTTTAATTCAATTAACCGATAAAACGTTTTTTTCGGCGAAGCACGTTCTTCCTACGGAAATATTTTCACTCCACCATTAGCAGAACCTTTCGCTGAAATGACGTCTGCAATATTAAAATAATTCCGGAGTGGATGGTCTTACATTTTCTCCCATTGCGGTATATACTTCTTTGCATTTAAAATATATTTTCGCACACATTCTAAAATATTCAAATATTTGTCGTATTTTCTCGAAGTTTTCCATTTTCGAGTACGAAATTCCCTGCTGTATGGGGTTTCAGAGCGTGACAGATACACTTTCGGGAATTTCGGAAAGCAAATCGAAGAGAGAGAATGTTCGAGAGTGCTAAGAGAGTCAGAGGGTGAATTCGAAGCAAGCGAACATTATCATTGGATATCGAATTTATTCAATAGATGTCTTCCCGTAATAATGCAGCGGCATTATTTCTCGAACAATCTCGTTATCGTGCTGCATTTCGCGGACTATGCATCGAGCATCGGGTCACGTACGCGATAAAACATAACCTAAACGAGATGTCGTTCGTGTACCGCCGAAATCAGCGCTAATGGCGATTCCAGATTTATCGCGCGATATAACGCTATATCAAAGGCGATTATACGTGTTTCGCTAAATTAAATTCTCCGTTCCAATATTCTCTGCAGACTTCTCTAAATTTTCGCCGATTACTCGTGTATGATTTATTCCGATTCACCTTGTTTACGTTGAGTGTACGAGATGTTCACGCTAGGTGGCAGCGCTTTCTCGCTGCTGGGACGTTGAAGGTGCAAGAGTTATGACTTCTAACGAGCGTCGAACGACTGTTGTTAAGGTTATGCGCCTTTCGTGAAACCAAGTCATCGGGAAATTCTATCCTTGCGTGAATTGTATGATAAGAGTAACCTTTAGAGATACTTGTCCAAGAAAAACACATCGATGACATGAAGAAGAAGAGGTTAGGTTCTTCGAAATGTAAAAGATTGATTGTCAAACTTGAACTGTTGTAACTTCGTAAAAAGACATCGTACGATAATCAACTTAAGTTCGTATTGAAGCTAGGAGTCTTTACTTACACATACGTGAACAGAGGCTTGCCGAAAAATTCTGTATATCAAATAGTAGAGTGGAAAACTGAAAATAATCGCTTATTTAAAAATTTTGATATATTCAAACAGGTCTACAGACTTCAATAACTTGTTTTTCCCCTAGTGCCCCATCTCGTGACCTAGAGGAATGATAAATGTCAAGCATAACAAAATCGATTATACACCATACCTGGAAATAATTTTTTCAAAATTGTAACATTATACATCGTTTACTATTAACACATTCTTTATTTCTGAAATTTTATATATTCCATTTTTCCTTTACAGCTTTCATTCCTTTATATAGAGGAATTAAATATCACGTGTTAATTAATTCTTTTCTTTTCCAAAAATCAAATATTGATTTTAATTCCGGCCCCAGTTCATTGTCCGGCAGCAAATAAATTTCTCTACTTTTCTCCCAGCTTTTATCCGTGTCAAGCTCTAACGAATATTGCGAAAATATGTCGCGAGGATCCCAGCTGATCTCGCGCAATCATGTTTTTCATGGGATCGTTCAATTTCGTCCCCGGGACTCCGTCCATTTCGCATCGTGCATTAAACCGTACTTGCGAGGCTGGCACCTACTTTTCAACAACCGTGTCACGCTAAAAGCTACCACCCGTGTACGGCTTTTAAAGCTGATTGCGACACCAAAGAGTGCTATTCTTCCGATAACATTACCATGTTTGATGGACGTCACTTCGTACCTCTTTTCATGCTTAGACATTCTTTCTCTGTCTAACATGTATATAGGCCTTTATTATCAGATGTGGTCTTTCATCACGGTTTGTCGTGAACGTAGAGCTAGTTTATTGAAATTGGGTCAACATAGAACGAAAATGATTTAACAAAAGTAAAACTTTTGATTCCAAGAATATTTATATTTATATTTATTTATTATAGTATAATTTCTTTCGTAATTGATTAAACTTAACTTTGAACGTAAAAATAGAATTTCATTTAAATAATTGAAATAAATTTAAGTCTTTTAAATTTGTAGGATATTTAATCTAATCTTTCTCTGAATACTTAATTTACAACTTTGGTTTAAATGGTAAAAATTCCTTTCGAAAATTTTCAATTCGACAATTGATTTAAATAATCGTAAATTCTTAATTAAACGTTTTGAAAACGAGAACGATATTAATTAAACCTGGTATCTACAACTTAAACCCTTATCGTACGATTTATCTCGAAGCACGATGTCCACGCAACGATCTATAAAATTAACCAAGTACTTAATTCATCTTAAATGTTTTATTCAAGCAATTTTATGCAAACCATTTTCAAATAAGACACTCTTAACGCCGGCTCGTTAAAGATGCCGGCAGACCTCGCGGAAGTTCAAATTAATGCAGGGAACTTACGAAGTTGCAATTTATAACAAAGAGTTAATAACGTTCCACAGAATTAATTCGTTTAAATAACGAATTGATAATCCATTAGGCTCCATTGCATGTCCAGTTTTCTTTGCATTATCCATTACACAGCATATATAATCCAAT